GGTTTGTCTTAAACCAACATTTTAAATGGATGCAATTTTCAATGAATTTTAAGATCAAAGTCACAGGCATTTTTAGTACTACTGCTGTGTGTCAGGTGATAATCATATGTGTGGAGGGTTTGTTACAATATTGTTTCACAGAATTTGACTACACCAACAGTGAACTGACAGAATGGCAACTCATCCACTCACTTCCTCTGAGTTCTGAAATACACAGATTGTAGTATTATATTCCTCCATTTGCTACTCAACTTGCAAAACTGAGTTGATTCTTTTCCTGGATATTTTTATGTTTTATTCAGTGAAAACAAGAAATTATGCATTGAAAATATTTTAAAAGCATGTTGGGGAATATACACTGACTCAGTACAAGTTTAGGGCATTCGCCTCAGAGAGAGAAGCTGAGGCCTTGGACAGTGTCACTGGTTTCCACAGAAACCCTTCCATATCCACCCCAGGTGCAATCCTGCCTTTTCTGCCAGTTTTGTGAGAGGCTATAGAATGACCTGTGGTCCCCCTTGTCGAGCACAGGATGGCCTGCAGCAGATGGAAGAGGTGGCTTCAGCAGGCCTCGAAAGAGTAGAAGCAGCCGCAGTCACATTGCACCAAGGATTTCATTCTTTTTTGGAACCATTAAGGGGAAAAGTAAATTAGAATGTGGACCAGAGCTACAGGACTCCTGAGCAAACCCCAAAGCCAGTTAGAGTTCAGGAGAAAGCTCAACCTTACTTGATAGACAAACATAAAGGAAGCTGAGATAGAGCTATCTCTTGCAAATACCTACATTAAAGAAAAGCAAGACTATGACTGATCACTCAGAAATAATCAAGCAATAATTACAGATTGTGAGAATAGACCAAGTAGGAAACCTGTATAACTGTAGGCAATCACTATGGCTCTACTTCCGTGGTGCTGATGCTTAACTGCATCAATTTGACTTGAGAGTGGCCCACGTGTACAGAACAGTTCTGCTCATGTCTCGGTGAGCCATGATGGTGTGCCCTGAGGTAGTAGGTGGGCTCCAACCCTTTCCTCTCTGGCACCGCTCCTCTGTACTGCTCCGCCTCCAACATGACATCTTCGTTCGACCACACTCTTCTACCACCATGTTTCTGCCCTGGATCCAGCCAACCAAGGAGTGAATCCCATTTCAGATCAAGCCTCTCACCCATTATGTTGTGGCTGTTGAATATTATGTCCTAGAGCGGACAAGGCTGATAATAATAAAAAAATTGTACTAGGAGTGGGGTTGTTCCTGGGGTTGCATTTGACTGTGTGGTTTAGAAGTCTTTGGAACTGGTGTGAGGGAGGAATTTGAACAAGTTTGAAGTGGGATGGATAGTGTTAAAATACTATAAGAAGATCCTTGTGGGGACTAAGGCGAGAGCTCAGAAAATCAGTATGCTGATAGGAATGCAGACAGCAAAGCCCATCGTCTGGAGGTTTTAAGCGGGAACAAGACAGTATTGGTAAGTGAACTAGAAGCCATGCATGTCGTGCTCTAGCAAAAGAATGTATCTCTACACTTTGCCTGTATCTAAGCCTGGGAGGCTGAGTTTAAGGGCTGTGAACTAACATATCTGGCATTGGAAATTCCAAGCGATTCCACCATTTAAGTTCTGTCATAGGTACCATTAGCTGTTTCAGAGAAATGTGTAGCAAGAAACAGAGGCAAAAATAGAGAAAAAATGAAAGCTTAAATGTTGGCCCCAGTGGAGCCACATGTACAGTTAAGACTAAAAGGCTTGAGGCTGCTAAAGAAATTAGTTCCTTAAAAGGAAACCAAGTTTTTTGTAGCAGGACAAAAATAAAAATAAAAATAAAAACCGTGAAGCCATCCCATCTCAGTAACGGATAATACTCCACCTACGAAAGGCTAGAAGTGCAAAAGTGTCAAACTGGCATTTCAGACAACCCCTGGGGAACTGGTTTCCTGGGGTTCATGCCATGACTCAGTCACTGTGGTATCAGAGACCATGACAGCTGTGGCCCAGCTGGTGCTCCTGTCACAGCAGACCCTGGTGTGGTCCATGCAAGGCTGCCTTTCCAGCGTGCAGGGAGCATGGCCTGTGGGCTCAGGAAGGCCTCCATCCAGCTTTCAAAGTGTGGCCTGAGCGGGCAGTCAAGGACCCCCTGAGAGGAAGGGGCTGAGCTTCACAATAAGCTCAAAGACATACCAGAAGTGCACCACACGTGAAAGTATCAAAAATACAAAATATTTGCTAAACAAAGCTACAGTGCCTTGGTGACCTTAACAGGACCCACACTGAGGTCACCCCAGCCCCTAAAACTCATGCCTTTCCACTCCTATCTACACCTCAGATAGGATGTGGAGCCAGAAGATATAACGTTAGTCCCATTGTGTTGAAGTGTTGCTGAGGTCTGATCTTTCACATCCCATCGTCCTCCCCTTAAAAAATATAAATCTTGCTTCTGTGCCAGTGTCCCTTGGAATTATACAACTTTTTTTTTTTTTGTAATTTTACAGAAGTTCATGATTAAGAGCTTGCCTGTAGTGTCAGAAGATATTGTGACTCAGACTTTATAAAACTGTTAACATTGTTCAGATTTTGGGAAAGGGATTATTACATTTTCTGTTATACAGAAGACAGTCATATCATGGGAAGCAAAATTACAGACTTGTTAATGTCTTCACTTAGAGAAGAAGCGATGCATTTGGGTTGTAAGTTGACAAAGGTAAAAATGTGCTGGTTTAGCTTCCTTGTGGCAATCTGGCCGGCTTGGGAGTGGCCCGAGGGATTAGTCCAGCGCACTTCCAGGGGGGTCGTGGAGGTGCGCATTGCTACACCTGACAGTCTTGCCCTATTCTGGTTTTCTCAGCTCAAAACCTTCTCTACACTTTGCCTTTGTGTCATGAAGTTTCCACTTCAGCTTCACTTAACCAGAGACCAAATGCCCCAAAAGCATGAGACAAATCAGCTTCACCGTCTCGTTTGTGGCTGTTGAGTGTTGTAAGCGGACGTACACAGCTTCCACGTTGGCTCTGCACAAGCCTCTCACTGTGTTTCCTGTGAAGAGCCCCCCAAGACCATTTCCAACGTGAAGCTCTCTGCTTCATGAATTACTGTTTTCTCAAATAAACACTTTAAAATTGTGTTGTACCTGAGTACCTTTTAACATATCAAAACATATTAATTAAACCGACTAGCAATTAAACACAGCTCATCACAGAAGCATGGAGAAAATGCATATGCGATTTATCTCTGAGGCATCAGCCTCAGTGCTGCAGGTAGCCCAAGGATTTCGCAGTAAATAGAGACAGCATGTATCTGACAGCAAGAAAGGCAGACTCCAGTCCACACCCAGTTCTGCTGTCACTCGCTGGAGTGGAAGTAGCGTTGCTGACCTCAAAAGCTTGTTGAAAGGGGTAAGTAAATGTTTCATTTCTTTCTGTTTTAGATACACATACACCCAGAAGAAGCAAGAACTAAGCAAGGTAAAAGGAAACAGAACTTTTTCTACATCTGTAACTTACAGCTTAGCATGCTTTTCTGTCTTGCAAGAGATGCATCTCTGGATGGTTGATTGATTAACTCCGTAGATGCCGAGCCACGTAAAAGTTCCTCCAACCGAGATTGTCCAAAACGTGTGCCTCCGAAGAGGATCTGCATCAAAACTAAGACACAGAGAACTCAGACAGACCTTTGAAGCCCAGATGTTACTTCACTTGATAGGAACATGCAGTTGCAAGCCTTCCCCGAGTGTAAAAAGCAGTGCTGAACATACTCAACGATTTGCAGTCGGGATCCATTTGCTGCTTGCTCTAATACGTTGTGGAATCCACCAGCTTTCATGGACCCTTGAATGAGAACTGTTAAGAATCCCACAATCATGACAACCATCTGAAATGCGTCTGTCCACACCACTGCCTTTAATCCTCCCTGAAATGAAGAGAGTTGATGTGAGTGAGGGAGATGACTTCCTATTTGAGCAGCTGTCTTATCCCTGTGGCCACTCCTCCATGAACTCAGTGACAGTTACAGAGTGCCTTCCATTTGCTTTACCTTTAAGTTAAATGTGGAAATGAAACAGCAAGGAAGAAAGGCCTCTTTCTTAAGTTAACAGAATTGGTAATCTAGTGGGAGAAGCAGATAGAGGATAGCAGGATATCATTGTGAAAAATATCATGAAGGACAAGTTACCAGGGGACCATTAAGTCAGGCATCTTGGAGCAGCCTTAAGTCTTCAGTGTCCAGCTACACTAAAGAGTCCCAGAGGAAATGAAAGAAAGTTGAAACGTAAGTTACAGGTCCAAGAGGTGGCAAGCCCAAAGAGGAGCTGCTCTGTTTATCAAAGGCCAGAGCAGGTAGACTGTGACAAGCCTACTTCAATGATTTTTAAGAACAAGGAGAGGGTACTAAAGAAAATTTCATAAGGTTTTGTTCTTTGTTTCGCAGCCATTTGGTAGTTGTGTGGGTAATGGATTGCAAACTGCTGAAGAAAAGGAGCCAAGAAATCAGCTAAATTTATTTCAGTTGCTTGTGCCCAACATGATGGAAAGTTTGAAGCAGGGTGAGATAAAAAGGGTCAATCTTGCATGCCTATGTCTGGTAGTCTGAGCAACAAATTGGATAATCACAATATGTAATATAACAACCATTGTTAACTTCTTGTTTTGCAATTCTGTACCATTTTTAGTGTTTTATTTTTCTTTGCTTTTTCTTTGTTCTTGTTATTTGTCTTTGGTTTTTAACCCCTTTTTAAAACAAAAATAAAACAAATAAAAAGGAAGAAATTTGATGTATTCAAAGGATTTGAGTGACCAAAATCACCCTAGTTTGTGATTTAGCTGACACAGATGATGAAGAAAGAGAATTAATGACAGTCACCTGGCTATAATTTGTAAAATTTGAGACATTTTTAATGAAACTAATATAATAACTACACTTTGGAGAATAGAGATGAAAACACACTGAGAACGAGGAGGAAAATTAGGAAGAAATGTTTGGTTGCAGATTAATTAGCATGAAGTTTTTGAGATGCAGGGGAAAAGCACCCAGTTTCCTGAAGACAAAGATAACAGTAGAACCAAAAGATGGAGAGTTTAGGCAAGAATTAAGCAATGTGATTATCAAATCTGTCTTCCCAGTAGTCACTTGAGGAAGACAAGAGAAAAACAAATAAATCCCATCCCTAGAGATTCTAAATTAGTTGCCCTCTGGGCTGAGACCGAAGCTGGGACCTTTGAGCCCTCCCCAAATGGTTTCCTCTGTAGAATTTGCTGAGAACATGTGGGCCAGGAAAAGGGAGGAGAGAGAGTGACTTCGGTGGAGAGAAGCCCGAGGACCACGGGAGGGTACAATGAGCAAATAGGGAAAGATGAAACCAAGTGACACACGAAGAAAGTACTTTGAAAATGCATGAGCACTAGGAAAATGAAAGGATGTGATATTTTTAACATTGAAAATAGAATTATCATCCCCAGTTACTCCTCCAGAGTGTCAAGGACTTCTGTGATAGGATGACAAGCTTTATCCTCAGTTTTAGAAGAAAGAAGACGTTGGGTTCCTCCAACCTTTTTTATAATTAAAATTTAATTTAAAACTAAGCATTAAAGTCCCTGCTAAAAGTATTGCATGTATATATTTTGTTCAAGTCACATCTTGAGGCACAATAAGTGTCTCACCTCCCACCACATAGGATGGCACTGTCTTGCCTTCCTTTCAGGATGTTAAGGCTTCCAAACCCAAATCTCAGCTGCACATTTTAGTAATATGAAAACCAACCATCACAAGCTTCAGCTCTCAGACACTGCTTGACATTTGTTACGGGAAAATCTGTATCAAGCTAAACATCAGCTTGACATGCAAGAAAACACGCCCTCTTTTTCCAGATATTCATCAGTAATCGTATTATACTCACCGTGCAGTCTTCCTGGATTTTCACATAGCCAGATTTCATCGCCCCTTGTGCATCTCACCAATCTGTGCTGTTTGGAGGCTAACATTTCTGTCATTTTTGTGTATGCTCTGGATGGCAAGAACTGGCTATTTTTTAAATCTGTTCCACTGATTTTCCCCCTTGGGCTATGTACACACAAGATTAAGAGAGTAAAAAATGCAATGTGAATTGCGGTCTGAGAGGCTTTCGATGCTCAGGTTGCCATTCGGGTGAGACACTCAAGTCTGATCTGGCTAGAGAGAGGAGAGATGGAGCAGAGGTAGTTTCTCTAGATTTAATCTTAAAGGATTATATCTGTTGCTCCTAAATCCTCTTGGCTGTCAACCTTAATTCCTGAAGAATAGTTTTGTTGAGAAATTACAGGCTGACGACTGGCTTTCCTCAGTGCCTTGAAGATACTATTCTGCTGTCTCTGGCTTCCACTGCTACTGCTGAATGTCTGCCTCTAGTGTCCCTTTGTAGGCATATTTGTCCCCTCTCGGATTTTTTTTAAAGTCATGTCTTTCCTTGTGCGGATCCTTACTTTTTTGAGACCTGAAAAATTTCAAGTTGTACATTTTGGAAATATAATGTCTCCCCCTTTCTTGCTATTTGCTTTTCTTCTTCAATCCCAATCAGATGCAAATTACATTTTCCATTTTATTCTTCAGAGTAGATTTGCACCTTTTTCTTCATGAGAGCCAAAGCTTGTCACTGACCTCCAACTACGTGAGGTCCTCTCAGGGAGGCAGTTAGGGTTCTGCTCCTAAACGCTCCTCCTGTACATTGCCAGTGAGCGATATGGGTGACACCTTTGCCTAAATCAGTCCACGCTTCCTGCCAGATACCAGCCCTGATAACCCATTTAAATTATTTCTGCTGTTATTTAAATTATTTGGTTATTTTTTGCTGTACTTTTTGGAAAGATATTTTGTTCAGGGAGCTATCATATCTTGTGCAATCCATCAGTGCATCCTAAAGCCATGGCATCCAGCATGTAATTTGTCTTCTGTGACATGAGTCATTACTCAGGGTGGAAAGAGGAGGAATCTACATTTCACCAAGGTGGGAAGAGATTCATGGGAACTGTAATCAGAAGAATGGGATGGAAGATGAAGCCAGAACTGCGACGTGACGTAGTGGTGGTATTTGCAGGTATAAAAATGAATGATCAGGACATTTTAAAATTGTGTATTCACTTGATACATATTGTAAAGGGAATGTAGTGTGATCGGTAATACACAATTCAGGGATAGTCTGCTGTATGCTAATATGTCAAATACTTTTTCTTTTTTGCAGAAGAGTAAAGAGATTCCAATTCTCCCACAAGCTTCCCATGCCCTGAACAGGCTAATTACACCCAGCACATGGTGTGGTGAGTCAGAGGACTAAAGGTTTTCTAGTTACAAGACAAGGGCAAAGGATAGATGTTTAATGACTATGTGTTGGGATAAACTAAATTTAACAGCTATATAGACATGTTGCCAATACCACTCAGCTCCCTCTATTGAAAAACTGAGAATGTATAAAAAATGGATGTTAAAGGTAATCAAGCCTTATCTGTAAACAGTAGACAAAATAGCTGTGAAATAATTAAGTTTATAAAGTGCCAACCTTCCTTGATGACTCATGCATGCATTCTCTCTCTCACTCAGTAGGCAGTGAAGTATAAATACTACCTCTGATTTATCAACAGACTTGGGCAGCAGATTTATTTCTCAGAAATATCATGGGGTCATCTGCTCTCTGGCCAAGGAGCTGTTTCTTTCATCAAAACTTCTCTCCATGGCATGACCTTCTGAATGAGCTCAGAGCCCACAGTCCCATAATTCCTAGTGCAGAAAGGCAATTTAAAAGGGATAATGTCTTCTTCATCTGGAGGCTCTGACAAATCAGCCAACATAACTCTAACTTTGGAAAGGCAGTTTTTGCTATAATTAGACAGCCTGTTGCTGGAGATTCTCCTTGCCCATATTAGGAAGCATCGCTCAGTAAGTTTTCCCAGATAGGTACCTACCAGGGTGCAGTAAAACGTGCAGACGATTCCCGTGGCAAACACAGAGCCCCAGAGGTCAAACCCAGTCACTAGCAAAGAAGAAGAACATTAAAGGAGTTTCTCTGAGCCCTGTCAGGGAGCAATCTTTGTGAAGAAAAGTCACGATATTTCTCAGGGTTCGTGTGAGCTACAGGAAGTCAAATTAAATTTTCCTCATTAAATTTTATCACCTCTGAAAAAGATGATTACATTTTTATGCCTCAAGACAATCTATCAGTTTTATACAATGTTCTGTCAATGTTTTGTTTCTCTCTCTCTCTCTCTCTCTCTCTCTCTCTCTCTCTCTCTCTCTCTCTCTCTCTCTCTCTCTCTCTCTCTTTGTCTCTGCCCTAAGATTCTGTAGTTTTTATCTTTGTTCCAAAATTTTTGTTCTGTTTTTGTTCTTCTTGGGTGACAAAGTTAGTCTGAATAATCAGGAACCTCCTTGAGTGGGAAATTAATACTTTCCACAACAAGCACATCTTCCTACTAAAGTGAATATTGAGTGTTTTCAACACAGCAGATGTCACCGCGAAATCTCTTTTCCTTTCTTTCTTTCACTTTTGTTGTTAGGATTCTATCCCCTTGAAAGGATCAACTGTACATCTTTGTGTGATTATCATAAGCAACTCTTACTCCTGCATTTGGATTAGCCACCCCATGAAATCACTGAGAAAAGGTGCTTGTCTTCAGATGCCTTTACTCGGCTGTGCTAACGTGGTAGCAAAGCCATCAACCAGCATTTTGGTGAAACAAAAATCTCAAGCCAAAAAGGTCATCAATCTGATCATTAGAACCACCCAATTTTGTGTGATAAAATGCAACAACTAATTATTTGTCTTCAATGTTTAATTTTGGAGAGAGAGCTTGAGACTGCCATCATCTTAACCCAAGGTCAACTCCTTAACATTTCCCTAAGACAAGACCAGGCATAAAAGTGAAGAAATGTGCCCACAGGAACATCAGGAACTTACCTTGGTTGAGCGCCAGGGCAGGTGCGTACACCACCACGCCTGTGTAGAGAACCTGGTAGGAAAGCAAGCATCAAGTGGACAGTTAAGGACGGTTACACAGGAGGGGAAATGTCCTGAAAAAAAAAAA